ATTGAAATCCAGAGTACGTTGCAAAAGAGATGACTCTTTCTCAGAGCCTCCTTTGGTAAACCACTACGTAAAATTTCGCCCCACTAACACATTCAGGCTCTAACCAGAGCCGGCTAGCACGGCTAAAGCTAAGCGCCGCTCACTATCTTCAAAGTGAGTTTACTGTCTTCACTGCACAGCTCCCACATGGCAAACCGGCTGGCTCCGCCGGCGAAAATTTGCCACAGCATCCGTGCCCAGCCCTGGGCAAATTTCTCCATCTCTTTTCCAGTCTTTTTTCTCTCCCTCTGTTTTCTCTAACTCCTTGCAACTTCTTTTACACACCCCTCTCCCCCCAATCACAGCAGGTAACACAGATTGCCAGATTCCTTCGACCAATCACATTACTATGACTGCATAAAGAGGGTGAACCTAGTGTGGTAACCAATACAGCTTTCCCGGAATTGGCATTTACATCACAGACAAAGCTGTAGCTGTAACAACACAAGCCATATTCATTTGTAAGAAGTACCAGCCCAGTATTTGCCAACGGGCTACATTTGTATTTTGGAATACCTGATGGTCTGTCATTCCATCCCAAAGCTCAGCAGACAGCTGCCTTCCTCCAAACCAGCGACCATTGAACGACAAAACACATGCATCGGCTTGCTCAGGCTCTTTGAATGCGACTGATGCCACGCCGTCCGGGTGTCTCTGCAGAACACACAACCACATACCAGCTCTTTACTGATGCTGCTGGTGTTGAATTCAAACCATTCTACTATGACTTTGCAACAGCACTAATGACATTAAACTCACATCAAAGAGGATTACTTTCTTGACCTCCCCGAACTTCTCACATTCTGTCCGCAGATCTTCACGATACTCATTCAACACCAGGGGGTCTTCCTACATAGGCCAGAGAGACTATTACTCACAGTGCACAGGGCGTGTATATGTTTGTGGAAACGTGTCTGCACCTCAAAGTCACTGGGATGGAACATGTTTCTGATGATGACAACTTTTTCATGCCTCTTCCTCACTTCCCCTTGCTTCTCTGGCCTCCAGTCCAATTGTCTGCAGACAAATACATCAGGAACCTGCATTACATTTTTTAAAATGCTGTATCGTTGGTTTTCTCTTAATCCACTTGAGGACTTGAGTTATCCCTGCAAGCAGAGTGGAAAGTTATATAAAAAGAAGGGAAAATAGAATTTACTTCTGTTGCTGGTGCATCTTCTTCTTATAATCTTTGTTCTTCTTCCTCTTCTTGCTGGCATCATACTGACCCTTCAGCTCAAACCGTGCAGCTTCCACGTGGAGCTTGTAACCTCTAATCTCTGTCTCATCAATCAGACGCATAGCCAGTGCTACAGACTCCTTCTGCAGAGAATCACAGTCACTTCACTGGAGTGTAACGCAGTCCTGATACTTCTACCACATACTGGGTACAGGCAGCAAAAGAAACTGTCAGACTAACCTTGAGATAGCAGCAGAGGCCATCTCCCTTAAGATTTCCTTCCTTATCCTTGTAGAGTTTCACCTTGTACTCATCAGTGCTGGGGTCTCGCATCACAATGCCACACTTGGTCATCATTTCAGCAAACTCTTCAGTGCTGATATCAGGGGGCAAGCCTTAGGAAAGGAGGCCAGAAGAGAACGATAAGAGAGAGAGAATAACCAGGCTCAGCCACAGCCGTCAGTGGATGCGTGTCTCTTCTTGACAATGAGAGAAAAAAGGTGAGCGATACCAACCTGACACATAGACATTTGTGTTTTTGTTGTCATCAATATCAAACCAACCTACATGCACAAAAAAGATGAAAGAAAGCAGCTATTAAAAGATGAATTTCTACAAACATAAACATAGAAAATGTATATATAAATCCATACTGTAAACAAACATAGTCAAGATTGTACACATGGAAAGACAGACCAACAAGTGTAGTTCCTAAAGAAAAAAAACAAGAATCTTATAGGTTTCCATCTGTAGAACACTTTTGTCTTTATATCACTGTACCTGGCTCTGCTTTCCTCTTCTCCCCCTTCTGCTTGGCTTCTTTAGATGGGGTCTTGTGCTGTTCTGGATTCAGATTCTGGGTGGGATCTTCTGGTTTCTTCTCTTCTGAAGACTTGCTGTCTGGTTCGGGCGCTGCTGCGTTGGTACTGCTCACTGCAGCTTTGTTTGCATCTGGTTCTCCGTCCTGAGTGAAGCCATAGTTGGCCTGGTAGGCTGCGATGAAGTCTTCTGTTACCTAGAAAACAAAGCAAACTTAGTAGGTAGTAAGCTGGAACCTGGCTCTCAGTTTTGCCACACTTAATAGAAGGTGTAACTGTGAATGCTTTACATTTGGAAAAAAATGTCTAGTTCATTAATTGCCAATCTTTTATCCAGAGAGTGCTTGAATCCAGTCACACACAATATGTACATCTCAAGTTATCACTTGTAATTGGATTTGGCTTTCCTACTCACTTTTGATTTTGTGCAAAGGAAACTGAGAATGCTACAGAAAACAATGTTTTTATTTGTCAATACACTTCTCTACACACAAAGAAGAGGTCTGCAGAACTGTTGGCCTATATTTGGATCATCCATGACAGCTGATATAATAGAGACAATAGGCCTAAGACTTTGGTGTGTAAAAAAAATAAGGCCACTTCCCCAGCCAAGATGGGCTGCTTTCTGCCTAATAAGATGTCACATGAAAGGATTTCATCAGATGCCTCCCATGAGATGGAGTATTATTGGTTTTGCTGAGGTCACAATTAGTAGATGATTCTCACACTGTTTTTAAAGCACAGCATATAGGTTGTCACAATGGAAAAGAAAAACTGAGAGGTAAAGAAATGTTTATACTTTAGGGAACCAGGCCTTCTTCTCATGGTCCCAGTCATAAACTGTCCCATCCACTGGGTCAGTGTAGGTGTAGGGGTCTGAGCCATCTTCATTTCTGCGGTCGTAGAGTTCCTGCATCCGCAGCTGCTCCATAAACTCTTTGTTTGCATCAGATTCACTACTCATCTGCAACGAGAATGTAAAATTGCCCAGGTCAGCCCGCCATTACATTTCAACATGTACAAAGGCCCAACGTAGTAAGTCTTTTACATTGAAGTAGTGCGATTTAATACCTTGCTGTATTAAATCTGGGGTGCTGTGGCTAAAGCAGGACAATAAACACAGATGCCAGTGCTGCTACTACTATAACATACTGAAATGTATACTCCTGACACATGGCTGCCCACAGCTATGAACTCGGGCACACGAGCCATTAGTCAACCAATCATATTTTGCTTCGACCACGGTCACCGCCCCGTAATTCAAGAAAAAGGCATTAGTTAACTACCATGCGATGATTACTCCTGACTGTCAATTTGACTTAACTTTAGCGGGTTTGTGTTCACAGGGCTGTTCGGGTTAAGTTCGCATCAGAGTTATTGAGGTGGGGTTTGTGCTTGAGCATTAGTGTTGTTAGTAGTAAGTTGGTTAATGTTAGCCAACACAGCTAGGTAGCGTTAGCGTTACCTTTAACAAGGGTAATCAATCCAGGCAACCGAAAATCTGCGAATGAAACGAAATCAGAACACACTCAGCCTGCGTGTTGTGAGATTATAGTTTGTTTTAAATAACTTCTACTCTATAACGTTAACCACTGCCTACTGTGTGTATCGTCAGTCGGCGATTACAGACACTTGAAGTACTTCCGGAGTCAGGCTCGAAATACGCATGCTCGGCTCCTGGAAATTGGGCGCTCGATTTAAGATACAGCTTCTACCCTTTCACTGTAATAATTACCGCGGCACACAGCCTAAATCACCCCGCCCACAGTTTGTTAGAGATAGCATGGAACGAACGCACATCTTATAAGTACATGGTCGTTACACACTCCAGCCCAGCAGGTGGCGGTAATGCAACTTAATTTGGCTTGCAAACCGCCAATAAACATAAGAAGAAGAAGAAGTAGTCTTGTAAGCAGTGTTAGGTCAGCTAATTTACCCAGCTTTCAATGTAGTTAGCTAACAGGTTAGCGTTAAATAACATACTTTTATTTCGGTTTGGAATGGCGGAGGGTAACGTTAGCGCTAATGTTAACGTCAGTCCGGCCAATCTTCCTCCGGGAGACCCGCAGCTCATAGCTATGATTGTGGAGCATTTGAAGAACAGAGGGCTTTTTGATGAGTTCCGTCGGGACTGTCTGGCCGACGTTGATACGAAGGTAGGCAGCTAATGTTACCTTAGCCACATGCAATGATACAGCTAATATTTAACCAGTTTTAGAAAACTAGACGAAAAGCTCATTTTAGCCAGTATTGACTGAGGTTTTGATCAGCTGGCAACCCGTTTCAAATGGAATAAAGTTATCAGTGCGTCATTTTCGTTGTTGCTTCATTACACCTTCTAGCTGTTGTGCTAGTATTATGCGCTGTTAGTGTAGTACACTTTGGAAAAGTTTGGCAACTCCTATGTAAAGGACGTATTTTCTTGAAATTTATTTATTTTTTAGTGAAAAGAAATGAATCTAGCCAATATATCAAACAGACAAACTGTGCATTTCTTTAAATGGTAACTCGTTTCTTGTTACTTTAATTTTGTCATGTTAAAAATAGGAAAACATTTGCATTGTGGCGTGTGCAAATGTTTGGACATCCAGATATGTCAGTACTTTAGGAACAGTTTCACAGTACACTTTGCATGGAAGAATGCATTACACTAAATGTCAGCAGATTCTGGATGCAAATATTATACAGTCTGTCAAGAAAGTGAAACAGAAAAGAGTCTGGCTTCAATCAACTAAAGTAAACCTCAAAATCTGCCCGAACATCCCTCACAGTCTCCTGAATATCAATGAAGATCTTTGGGTAGATCTAAAACATGGTGTGAGGCCAATATAATCAAAACATATGTCAGAACTTAAAGTGATCTGTGAAGACGTGTGTTGTGAAAATTTCTTAAATTTAAGACTGTTTGCCAGCCATGATATCTGCCAAAGGGTATAGTATTGAGTGCCCAAATGTTTGCACATGCTGCAAGTTGTGTTTGTGTTTTTTTTGTTTGTTTGTTGTTTGTTTTTTTAAGATCATGAAATTAAACAGAACAGTCTACATGTAGACTGTAGAAGCACATTACCTTTTGTAGGAAAGTTCATTTTTAATGTCAGTTTGCAGTAGGGGCTTACGACTTTTCACGTCAAATCAACATTTTGCATACAATTGTGCGGTCAAGTTTACATTGCTGTCCTTGTCCTTGCTGCCAGCCAGCCTTTCAGAATCTGCGACAGAAAGTTGACAATTTTGTCACATCACATCTGAGCACACAAGACTGGAACCCATCTATCAACAAGAACCAGATGAGGAATGGACTGAGGCAAAGTGTTGTTCAGTGAGTGTTGACGTCTTCCATGTTCTGTGCATTCACACTGTAAAGGAATAACAATGTAAAATGTACTGCTGCTTTATGATTTTAGAAAATTTTTGATGAATGGTATTCTCTTTATTCTGGAAAGCAACTGTTAGTCTTCAGCCTACAGTTAATGATTTTATAGCAAATTGTTGTTATAACTGAAATCCAGCCAGGATTCCATGTTAGTTTATCAAAAGGGTTCGTCAGGTTCCTAATCCTGCTCTTTAAAAAAAAAAAAAAAAAAAAAGGGGGGGGGGGGGGGGTTTTTTTTGAGCTTAGTGTTAACACATTCCACTTACTTTGCACAGATTTTTGATGTCGTAGCAGCACTGAGAAGTACCATGTGGAAAAAGTATGTTTCCCTATTTCTTCTACAGGTGTATCTTAAGCTGACTTACCCATCTGGGCGCCCCCTACTGGTAACATTAAGCGCATCTCCTTGTAAAAAAATAAACCAGGAAAACACTATTGTTTATTTTTTTTTTTTTTTTTTTTCTATTAAACAGTTAATGGTTTGGTCTATAAAACACCAGAAAACTGAGAAATTCCCCTCTGGATTTCCTAAAGCCCATGATGACAAAACAAAATGCAGATGACAACATCTGGTGGCTTGTAAAACTTATAGTAGCTCTTGAAGATGAGCTGAAGCATTAAAACACCATGATGTTAATGATTTTAGTCTTATGTGTGTAATAAAAGTCCAAGAAGCCACCGCATTCTAATTTAACCTGAAATACTGTTGTTCAGAAGGTGCATTATGTGAGTGATTGGTAATATTCATTAAAGGGTGCCCTTTTCTATTATTACTTGGTATTTTTAGGGGTAGCTACTGATTTAGTTGTGCTGTGTTTTTTAGATCAGGTATGCTCGAGTCTGGTGTGGACAGGATCATCACTCAGGTCGTGGACCCCAAAATGAACCACACTTTCCGTCCACACATAGAAACTGCCATCCATGATTTCCTGTCAGGGGACAGGAAGGAGGAGAACACCACGAGTTCTACCTCTGCAGCATCTGAACAGACAGAGCCACAGGAGGCCCTGTCTGCCTCTGGCCCCAAAACCCCCTGAGGTCGGTTTAAAAACTGAAGTGCACTTAAAGCTTTGCAATGATTAAGAAATGTAGTTAAGAAGTCTATATTCTCTCCTGCCTCAGGTACACATGGTGGTCTCTACGTAATGTTGTGTGGCTGTGTTAGCCTTTTGAAGGGTGCAGCATTAAGGAAGATGAAGAGAAGGAGTAGCCTTTTGAAGGGTGCAGCATCAGACAAGGAAGATGAAGAGAAGGAGGTTGTTTCCCGCTGTCAGACTAGAGTCAGGAGTGTTGGTGCTTTCAGCATCAGCCTGTCTGTGCTGCACAAGACTGCAGCTGGAGAAGTTTGACAATGCCAAGTGGTGCTCTCACTGCACTGCATGGCTCTGCCTTTTAGACAAATGGGAATTCTTTTTTTCTGACCTTTTACATGTGATAGCTGACAGATTTTTATTTTGGAGTATGGTATATTATGTATTTTTCACTCAGGGTATTTGTGTGTGTGTGTGTGTGTGTGTGTATAGACACTTTCTACTAAGAACATGTTGATTAACAATATTTGAAACTTCAGACCCTGTCTACCTTGACTCAGAGTGCTGGGAGAGCCAGGGGGCTGGTTGATTTCATGTTAGGAGAATCACAGGAAAAAGATCCTGCAGTTTCCCAACAGCTCATAAGACCTCTAAACAGGGTGTCTGAAGGTTTAGTAAAAGACGTGTATGTAAATACATTTTGTTTAGTTGCTAGACGTTTTAACATTGCATCACGCTGTCAGATCTTTTTTAGCATGTATTTAGTGCATTGTATTGATTGTGCATCCTGTCTGCTTTATTATACAGGCTTGACATCTTTCTTCTTTTTCTTATTGTATCTGTCTGTACCTTTTGTTTTATGTATTTTGCATTTTGGTATACTGCATGTAAAGATGGTGGGTAAGTCTGCGAAAAGGCGTCGGCCACACACTCATTTCCTTGAGTAATGGCAATAAATGTGTCCGTTTTCTGCAATGAAAACAGAGCAGAGTCCATAATCGTCTCCCATTATCATCAAGAAGGTAGTTCTTAAGTTTGTTCTTTTTACAGGCAGAATCCATCAAAACAGATTAATAGGTTGATGTGGAGGGAGGAATACACTTTATCATTATTATAATGAGATTTACTTGCAGTGACTTTGATTTTATATCTTTTGCATGAACCATAGAGGGACTGTCATACCAGGTGTGGTGGAAGCACACTCCTCACTTGTGTTCATCTTGTGTTGTAAGGTATGCATTCACTCAATTATATATACAATGGACATGGTGTCACTATGCAAGCCCAAATACTGTACTATGAATTTGGTGGCTGCTATCTTGCTTTTTTGCAACCAGTTTCTGTACAGTAGTGACCAGAAGTGGAGGGACGGCATGGCACCACCAATCAAAGTTTTCAAATTAACTGAAGTACATCTTTTTAAATCATCAAATAACTTGGTACTGACAAACTTGCCAGACAAATAGCCACTTGGACACAAGTGAGTGTGGTAATGTCTACCTAAGATGACAGATGAGAACTCTGGGAAAAATTAGATTTGTACTTTTGTGTTTTTTGGGTACATCCCAAGTCTATTATAAGCACAGTCATTTCCTTCACTTGAGATGATGCAAGTAAAAAGAGGACTTGAGGAAACACATTTATTAATAGGGGTGTGATGATAGACTTGGCTCACAAGACGATACACGATATTGGGTTCACTATTTCTAAGAAATCTTCAACGGTGAAATATTTGGCTGGAGAAAGTCTTTTATTTGACTGCCACAAGATTCAAAACAGTGCAGATGCATTTTGAAATTTGAAAGTATTTAACTATTCAGATATTTCCTCATTGGGTGGGTAAACAGTTTTCATGATCAGTATTTGAATTTTCAAGATGGCAGGACATTTCAGTGCAGCCTCCGTCAGGGTCCGTTTTATAAGAGATGTGAGATCTGCCCTTAGTGTAGCTCATGTTCCGTTCACTAACAGAGGAGGCAGGATTTATGACCTATACGGCAGCCAGCCACCTTTAGAGCTTTCAACCTGTCCATTTATACAGTCAGTGATTCAGCTCTACAGAGACGTGCGTTGTTTTGTTTTATCCTTGTACATTTATGTGCAGTGTGCATCCTCAATATCAACTAGTTTGTTATCTCTAAAAAAGCTTGAGTAGCCACAGGTAGATCTCTTTATAATGTCCTTAAGGACCAGTTGGTAGAGATGCCCTGTCACTCAAAGCCTCAATAAATCCAGGCTTACGGTAAACCTCAATCAAGTGTGTGTTTGTCATTGCACCTTGTGTAACTTTACTGATTGAACCTGTTTTTGGCAGAAGACTGATCAAGATGTTAACACACACAGTATGTGTCTGTCTAAATCTGTTGCTCTTTATGTGTGTGCATGTCTTTCTATGTTTACGTGAGTAATTTTTAATTCAGTATCATTGTGAAGACATTTTGGCTGGATGTCACAATTTTAAAGGACTGCTTGGAGGGTTAAATGTACCTGTGGTCCTCTGTAACACTTCAGCTAATCCAAAAAATTCAAATACTATTATTGAAGAAATGTCTTGCAGATCTTAAAATCTCAGCAAATCTAAACTGTTTGCATGTGGTTCATGTAAATCAACACTTAAAATATGTTAAAGCAGCAATGTTGTGCTTGAAGTGGCTAAATATCAGCATCTTGTAATATAAACTGTCATGAAGTGAGCACAGTTTATAAAGCCAAACGTTACAGACCAGTTACTGTAATGTAGATACTTGTTTATTTGATGTGCAGTAGCATGTTTATAGTATGTGAGAGATTGGAGTACAAGAGGTTCCTGCTTCTGTACTGTTTACACAGTGTTGTGGCTGCGCCATTTTGTGCATGTGAGTGTGTTCGGTGTCAGGGTGCATGTGCAATGTATCAGGGGATCCAGGATGAGATGGAGAATAAGCAGGCATGGTTACAAAAAACAGTCCACCAACCACCATGCAGACATCAGCACCTGTCCCCCAGCTGGGCCCGTGCATGGACGTGCAGTACTGTGACCTCCAATTTCAACACAAACACACTTGTCCTCAACCACAGTCAGTGAAGGCTTCTTGGATGAGCACTAAACAAACCCAAGGAGGCAGAAGAGTGAGGGGTATTTGTTTGGCTCACAGGGAGACGCTCACATGAGTGTGACTCGTCCCCCTGGTGATGTCAGATGTCATGGCCTTTATGAGTCTAAACATACAACGACAACAACAAGCTTGCAAGATGTGAACATTGGTGAAGAAAAGCAAAACTTGATTCACATTGGAGTGTGTGTGTGTTTTACTCTAGGGCTGTTATTCAGCATTAAAGAAAAAGATATAAACACCAGAAGTCTCTTTTTAGCTATCTTTGTGAGGACCTATTTTAATTTTAAGCAATTGCATGGTCAGGGCATTTCTGTAGGTACAGTAGTGTGGCTCCTTCATTCTCTTTCTGAGGTTGATGCCGTTTAGTTGTGATGGTCACAGTTAAGATTAGGTGCTAATGGGGGCCCTCACAAGTATAGAACTGTGTGTGTGTTTTGTGTACAATGACATTTTATGTGTATGGCTGTTTGTACAGTTTAATGGTTTTCTTAGTGGTTATAAATGACTTTAATACTTTATAGAGCAGTTATAAGTTAAGTAACCAGATTTGGGGTTGCCAGGTTGTGATAGATCCCATTGACATATGTTATTAATAAAAGCTGAAGTCTGCTCTTCTAAGTGTTAATAAATGGATTTTGACCTGTAAAGCATTAGTGATAAGTTAAAACCATTAGTTACACCTTTAAACTTTTATAAATGGAGCCTTGTTGAAAGTGGTGGTAGGATACTGTGTCGTTTGTGTAAGAATACTTCAAGCTTATTTATATAGACGGCAGAAGACACGATGTGAAAACAGTTTACGGGAATGTAGCACTGTTAACAACTTGGAAAGCCCTTTTCACATACTCCTGCTGTTTTTCAGTCTGGCTGCTGCTTGAAACGTTCCTCACTGCACGTCGTCCTGCCATGAAAGCAGCTGTTAACGCACACGGACACGCAGGCTGCTGGGTTAATTGGATGTGGATGTCTTGAGTGACTAAACTCTGCAGCCTCCACATGAACAGCAAGACCTTATAAGAGCATTCTCGCTGTAAATGTGGGATTTCCTTTCTGGGCTCAGTCAGCATGACCGTCACTCCTGCCTCCTGTCTCTCTCCGTCGCTCATCATTCACTTGGGCTTTATAATAAATGGGAAAACTAAACCAGAACGAACCCGTTTGTTCAAGCAAACAAAACCCTCCGCCATCGTCCGTTCTGCTTGTCTCTCATTAATGAGAGACTTTAAACGCCAGTGGTGTGCGCGTTCACGTGGTTGCGCCGTGACTGGTGGAAACACTAGCTCCTCTTAGTCGGATCGTCGTGAACGCGCAGCTCTCACGCAGCTTTATATATTTGAGCCTCCGTGCCGCGGGTCCTTCTGTATAGTGCAAACGTCCCGGCGCGGCTGCGCTTCCACCGCTAAGACGAAACCAAAACACGAATCTGCAGCTCGTCATGCCGGCGGACCTGGCTGTTGTGCTTTTTGTGTTTGTCCTGTGCCTGTCCTGTCAACAGGTGGACCTGCATGATGTCCAGGAGAAAGTGGACCAGGCCAAAAGACGACTCTCTCTGCAGAGCTCAGGTGAGTTCCACCGGCTGGACAATCATTACCCTTACAGCTGAGCCTCCGGTGGTCTCCGGAAATAGAAGCTTAGGTTAGTCACTGGTTCGTTACTGAATCCAAAACATGTGCGCCAAGAGCCATCGATCTCTGCGGGAACAATTGTCTGTGACACTGACACGCTGTTAGTGCACTTCGGCAGATTTAACTCGGATGTGGGTCTGTGGTGCTAGTTCGTTTGGGCCCCCTAGAGAGAACACCTGGATGATAAATGTTCTACAGCCTTTATGATGATGACATTCATACTGTCAGTTACATAATAGGTCTGCTTCTGTTGTGTCTGCGCTAGGTGATTTTGGGCACCTCATGGTATTATTATTATTATTATTATTATCTTGTAGCCTACATGTGAGTCTTTTCTTTGATTGCATCTTTAAAGTAATATTCACCGTGGGTAGTTTATATTCTGTGTAGCCTTTCCGTTTCAGCGCAGGTAGCGCGCGTCATGCGCTCCTGCTTTGTTGGTGATTCAGTGCTCAGATCCCTCGGCTCGTTCCTGTCCAAGCGCATTCCCTGCGCACCAACAGGGCTGTGCATTACGGCAGCACCGGCCCGAAGACTGCGGAACATCAGGCTATAGGAATACAACTGCAAGAACAACAGCGCTATAACATTTGATCTTTATTTCAAACACTTGTCTGAACTGAAATAGACAGTTGCAGCTTCATCCCTGCTGTGTCCACTGCAACGAAGCCTGTGTGACAGGAACATTTCAACTCAGAGAACAAACCAACAAGATGAGACACTGAACTCAAAATGTCCTCATCACGTAATTTAGTTTCTTAATGTTGAATCACCATAGGCCATCCTAATGTGTGTGACATTACTGAAATGTTAATACTGTCTCTAAGGTACAGCAGTAATTATCTGAGGGACACACAGTCCTCTATCGTCTTACTGTGGTGAGATGAATCCTGAGCTCTGCCAGTATGTTTCTGTCCCCCCTCAGCCGAGATTCAGAGTTGCCTGATGAGTTCAGGGGATGTTGGCTGCGGGATATTTCAGTGCTTCAACAACTCCTGTGAAATCCATGGGCTGCACCACATATGTATCACCCTGCTGCACAATGCTGGACACTATGACTCTCAGGTGGGGACAGCATGAGGGCCTGACCTCGTTTTCTCTTTATGACACTTAAAAACCATTTCAAATGTAAATTTTTCTTTGCCATTCTGTGTCGTCTGTGGCTACTGACATTGTCTGAAACTGTGTTCAACACTGACCGAGGGCACGTTGACATAAGACATAGTTGGATACATGTTTTTATTACGTTTAATCCACTTGGTCATTTGTGAGGAATATTTGTTGCAGTGTGTAGGTATGCATGGCCCTGGATACAAAACAAACTGAGGGGAGCTGAAACCAGAGGTGGGATGGCTTTCCTGCTTTACTAGAATAGAAATGAATACGAGTGATGCAAGTCTGCAGCATGAAGTGGCACAGTGGAGGATCTGTGAGCGACTGTGTACTGGATATATAGTCCAGCCCCATACAACAACAAACACCATGACACCCTAACCCTGCTTATTGTAACCACACTTTGTTCATTTCAATCGCTGCTCCTCAGTTGACTGCAACAACTTCCAGGTTGAGCAAGGATGGAGGACTGATCATAAGAGAGACACCCTCTGGGATTGCTCAGCTCATGGTGCTTTGCTCACCGCACCATCAGAAATGTCCCACTGACTCCTCCTGTCACTCATCTCCTCTTCTCAGGGCAAATCCTATCTGAAGGATGTGTTGCGGTGCATAGCGCTGGGACTCAGCTGCGTGAGCCGCAGGTGCGCAGCTGTAAAAGAGATGGTGTTCTCGCTCCAGAGAGAGTGCTACTCCAAACACCAGCTCTGCTTGGCACTACAGGACCACATGGACACCACGGGGAGCCTGGTCCAGTTCCACCTGATGTTCCCCCCTGGGTGAGAGAGATGCACCTACACAAGAGAAAAGGAGACTCGTACTCAGATTCATACTCAAAGTAGAATAGAAGTGACATTTATTACAAGATTAGTTAAAACATTTCAAAATGCACCTGCATTGTTTTGGATTTAGTTTCAGTCAAAGACTTTTTCCAGTCATATTTCATCATTGAAGATTTCTTAAAAATAGTGTTAAAATATCGTCTCGTCTCCTCCTGAACCCAGTATCATGTAGCATCTTGTGAGCTATATCGTCACACCCCTAGTTTCCACCTCAGCTAAAACCATTTTTGTGACGTTGAGATATTTTTGTATGTCCACTTTTTTTATTTGCAAATTGAAAATGTACATAGAAACACGTCAGTAGGAACCCACCTGCTGCCATGGCTTATTTACACACAGTTCATCAGAACAGAACTACTAATGTTCTTACTAACACCTCTGCTTTTCCTACTGCGACAACTCAGTGCCTTTTTCACTTAAGGTCAAAAATTCAGTGTGCCACTATCCTGAAACTGCCACAGTATCTGACAGCGTTTCTCAGAATATACTACATCTTTGTTGAAAGTTGAACAGAACAGCAGGTAATTTTCTTTTTTCTTTTTGTGCTTATGTCCTGCCAGACCATACGTGGAGCTGGTGAACTTCCTGTTGAAGTGCGGAGACAAGGTCAGGTCGTGGGTCAGTCAGCGGCTGCGTGGGCAGTGTGAGCAACATTGGGGGGCGCTGTGCAGCAGCTTTGATAGGACCTGCTCTTTCAGCCAGTTGGATGCTCCACAGCACACCACTCACTCACCACCCACCCTGCCCTGGACTATCACAAATGAGAGAACCCTGCAGCAGCCGACCAGTGCGGCTGAACGAGATGACATGAACGCTCTCGATCGGACGGACAGCACAACTGAATCTGGTCTGCCTGTGTCAGAGAAAACCTATGTTACTGCTTCATAGACAGGAGGGTGTCATGCATTCATGCAGGTTGAGGTGTGGACAAGGGTACAACACAACGATCATGCACCTATTACTATATACTGGTAGCAGAATGAATAGTAGTAGTTTTTAAGCTTTTCAGTGTAGTGTTGCTGGTAAACTTCAGCATAATTTATTTAATTTTCTGGGTATTTGCAATGTTTTCTTTACATTTGAATTTGTTTAAGGATGGAAACCAATAATCTACCTCACTTCAACATGTCAGTAAACCACAGCAGCTGTCTCCTTCAGCAACAGGCATGAACACACAAACACTACACTAGATCAAGAGTAGCTGAAGTGGGTATGCAAATGATTAGGCTTTTGTTTTTTATGAAGACTGTTACATTATGTGCTGTATAGCTGACACTATCAAACATTACTTTGTAGAGTCAGGGTGCAGTCTGCAGGAAGGAAAGCACTCTTTAGTTATGTGTAAGAAAGTGCATGTTTGTCTACTTGAATGATCACATTTCATAAGGTTCAAGCTATATTTTATAAGTTTTTATTTAAAAGAATCTAAAAATACATTTGTAAACATTTTGAATAAACTACAGCGATGTCACTGGCCAGAGAAGAGTTTCAGTCAGTCCTGTCCTGTTTGTTCTTCACAGTAAGCACTGCTGTACCATCTCTGGTGATAGTGTTCGGTATGCTGCCATCTACTGGCACAGTGGTGGCAGTGCACAATAAATATCACTATGCTTTTTTCTAACGGATCTGTTCAACATTCACAGTGAACCTGGCAGACTATAGAAGCAGATCCCTGCCATGATGTTTGAGGGCACCATAACCACACTTCGAGCACTAATTTGGCAACTCAGCACTTGAGAGTGTGTATAGATTTGTAATTGCAAATACAGATTTGAGAGCGTAATCCAGGACATGCATGCTCTCGTTTCTGTGGTCTCAGATTTCTCCACCGGTGTTTGTGTGAAAACCCAGTGGAGAAATCTGTGTGCACAGATTCAGGAACAAGTGCACGTATGGCTTGGATTACACTCTCAAATCTGATTCTGTGCTTACAGAACTATGCATGCTCTCAAGTGCTGAGCTGCAAACTGACTAATGCTTGAAGTGTGGCTAGGGTGCCTTCAAACACTGTGGCAGAGATTTACTTCCATAGGGGGGGGCAGTACTTGCTGAAGGTCCAAGAAGTATCAGGATAATGCCTACAGTGCAGCATTCCTACAACCCGCAGACAACCATCATGCTCTTACACGGGCGGTCAATTTGTTTAGTATTCCCAGGGCTTTAGCCCTGCTGTGGAAATCTGAATCGCAATGCACTTGAAGGACTTTTACTCGAGAGCCAGTGCTTGGACTTTAGTTCCTAGGAAATTGTCAGTGGAAAAGCACATCTTCACAGTTACTCAAAGGTTGCAGCACTCTTAGTGGAGGCACCATGGTGTAGCCATTCACAGTACTGAACAACGGGTTGTATGACCATGTTTGTCTGAGGCTTTAAATCCAACAGTACATCAGCCAAACGTTTTCACTACATGCAGCAGTCCAGTGTTGCAGAGTAAAGTAACTGGAAAACAGCTTTCCTGAAGTCCAGGTGTGTGCGCTCCTTAAGGAGGAGAGCAAGCTAGTCCATGGGCTAAATGAAGGAAAAGAGACGTTTCTTCAGAATGTAGAGGACGGTGGCGAAGAAGAGGGCCATAGCCAGGAAGATCAGCAGCTTGTCTGTCAGCTCCCGGCGGTTGTACTTGAAGATCAGCTTCCTGCCCAGGTGGATGGTTCCTGTCATGCTCCTGAACTCCTCGTTGGTTTCCTGCACTGTCCTGGAGGAAGTGCCTGTGGAGTAGAGGAGAGGTATTAAAAGTTTAAAATGGAAAGAAAATGTGAGATGGAAACAAAAAAAGAGATCTTTACAATGGAGAAATACTGTAAATCAGAGATTTAAAAAATGTATTTTGTTTTTTACCCAGGACGCCGATGGTGTCCTCACTCTGCTTCACTTGTTCAGCCATCATCCTGCTGACAGACATCAGGCTCTCTGTGATATTGCTACTAGTTTCCACGAGGCTTTCTTTGGTCACCTTCCTGAGATAAATACACAAAGCAGAGCAAGTGATGCAGGTTTGTTGTTTGCTGCTTTAGAGAAACTGTGTAATCAACAATCCAATGAAGCAGCAGTACGAGTGTGCATATGAGTGGATGTCTGTGGAATATGGCATTCTGTTTCTACCACTACAACTAAGCTGAAGACAACTGCTTTATGCTCTGATGAATCGATTTTTTTTATCATACAACTGTTTGGGCTGTTAATCAGAAGTCAAAGTACAGAAGTGCACTGCATGCAACAAAAAAGGATCTTATCTCACAATTATGAGATCGTTTTCTCATAATTGAGATAATACAGGTGTTGGAATGCTGCCTGAAAATCATCAGGTTTTGACAAATACTTTAGTATCAAGGTAATTTAGTGATGTTTGTCAGTACATCCAGTAGCTAAATTGAACTGCTAACAGCTAATTCAGCGTATGTAGGGTTCCAAAATGTAAATATAGGCAAAACAACCAGCCCCGAAGTTGCTGCCTACAGTGTGACTCACCATATACATGTACTGAGCAGGAGTTGCAAAGTTTCAGAACCTTGTTTGTTTACATTTTGAAAAACTACGTAGGCAATGTTAAGTTTGTTTTTGCTATGTACTATTGGATGTACTGACAACTATCACTGAATTCCTTTGATACTAAATTTAAAACCTGATGATTTTCAGACAAGTTCTGCAACGTTCCATTCCATAAATACAAGAAAAGATCTGTGAAATCCAGATTTGATAAATACTTTATTAAATAAATATTTATTTTGGGGGTTTTTTTGTGAATGCTGTGACTATATAGAGGGTGTTAATAAAAAACTTCCACTCCCCTCTTGCCAGTTGTTCAACATTGCATTTTAATCTCTAGCAACTTCCACAGGATGATTGTGTAATAATGAGATCCTCCACTACCCACAGGCTTTGCATTATTTTAATACTAAAATTTACTGTAATTATGAAGCTGTCGCTTAATAACAGTTAACCGTTTCTAAATGTTCATAAGGCAATTTTTTGACTTGTGCCAATAGCAGTACTGAATACGCCCGCCTCTCTCTCTGCCCCCATATTGTGGGGGTGATGATATCATTTAACTTAAACCTTCTCTCTGCATTATATTGTATTTTGCTTTAAAGTGCCTTTGATTTGTGATTTTACTGCCTATTTAGATTTGTCTTATTGCTCATCTACTTTATATTTCACTTGTATTATGTGGCATTCATGTGGACGGCATTGTACAGGGAAACATGTTTCCTAACTGCATATGACAAATAAACATTTTGACCTTGACCTTTGACTCTTAAACTGCTTCTGGAAGGTAACGTTTTAACGAGCGTCTCTGCTCGTTAAGTATCCACTCAGGCAGAGGGGAGAGGAGGTTTAGAGGACTGAATAAGATAAGCTGGCAGTTCAGGTTTGTCTCACAAATAATAAGGAAAGTGGACATGTCACTATTTATTTACTGTATAAAAGCTATGGATAAGCAAACTTACTGTGCTCAGATTTGAAATTACAGCCATCTTATTTCAGTATTTTAATGTAATTGCACAAACTTTAGTTGGTAAAGCAGAGAAATAGACTGTGGTATTCTGATTATACTTGTCTTGCAGTTGAACATGATATTCCTAACAGTTGTGTTTTTGACTATTTAGAGTTTTGACACATACTAATAAGACATGAAAAAGCAGAGACGTATTAAGCCAAAGGATGATGCAAAATATGTTCAGTCTGGCCGTGACAAAGGTGGTCTGGACATTCAATACATCAACGCCTGTAAAGGTAAATTAAATCTTGATATTTTGGTGATGACTAATTTTAATCCATATCACTGCAATGCTGTGACAGGAAAGACTAAAATGATCTGCAGTGTTTAAAATTAATATATATTAAAATTTGTTGGTTTGCTCAGGGGTTTGGCACAAATCCTGTCTCAGATGAACTGAAAATAAAAACCTTTTTAAACATTCTGCAAAATTTCTCATTTTTGAAAATATTTTTTTGCCAGTTCCCACAACACATTTATTGCTTTTGTCAGTGGAGAAAGGACATCTTTCCAGCATGCAGAGGAAATCGCTAGATGAAATTGAAGGTTTGTACCAAAATGAACCCTTTCATATAGAAATCAATTCTTTAGTGATGTACTAGTAGTGATAAATAATAGGTGGACTGTCTTATCAAAAATAACTGATTATGGTTTATCTACTTGCAAGAAAGGTTTGTTATGTCATATCAACTTTACAGTATATCCAAACTAAAGAGCCACTGAAATCAGGAAACTGTATTTATTTATTTATTTAAGCTTCTCATGAAAGGTTTATCAATGTATTTTCCCAGTTGAAATTTAATTAAGTGAAGCTGAGAACCGCATCAGTGAAAGTGCATCTGATGACGGTAGTATAGCCGCTGCAACGCTGTCAGGTTGTGGACCTACCAGGCCTGTGGACACTACATCAGACTCTACAATCAGAGATCAAGACTACAAAACTGGAGGTGTGGGTAAGTTACACAACTTAATACATTTAGTGTATACAACTGAAGTGAGTAGGTCCTTGTGTAATATCACATAAAGTTATTCAAAATTCTTACAGTAATTGCATTACTAATCACTGGATGTGATCACTTAGAGTTGGAGAACGGTGCTGCTTGCTGAGGGATTTATGATGGCTCCAGATGTTTTGTGGTTTTTATGGAGGCTTATTAGAGTAGTTTGGAGGAAAGAGCTTGTTCCTAAGTCATGGAGGTGAGCAGGACTGAGTATATTTAACTAGTGGGTCCTAGGATGACCTGTATTTTTTCCCATGTACTGCAGTGGTGCCTGTGGAATCGTTGGATGTGCATTTTGTGATAGGTTTGTGTTGGAGAATAGTGCTGCTTGTTGTGGGGCCCTGAAGATCGACAGCATGGGCTGATACCCCTCTTTAGGGCCATAGGGTAGGTCGCAAGTATAGGCTCTGATGGGAGCTGGTTCTAAGTAATATACTTGCAATAGGTACATTGTTTCAGTAATAAAACATTTTTTGTGTCAGTGATCACAGGTTTGTTCAGTTTTGTTGCCCTGATGTCCTACTTTGGGGCCTGTATTTTCAGTATAGTCTTTTTGACGTATTAAAGTGCTTCAGGTTCTTTTAAAGTATTGGTAAAAAAAAGAACAAACATTATAAATTAAAATAAAAGCTAAAATTTTATGAAATGAATTAACCTAAGGGAAAAAGGAAATACACTGCATTACAGTATAAATTGTAGGTTTATTTTAATTTCTGAAAACGTTTTCTAAAGATCTTGGACTCTTGGTAGCTGTAGCAGTTTAACTTTTCTTATTCTCTATATTTTCCAGAAGAGAGCCTGGTCTAAGGCTGAGATCACAGCTGTAATGCGACATTTAAAGGGCGTATAGCATTTAAACATTTAAACAAACAACATTATGTCGCATTTTATTTGAAAATGTGACATAATGGAAAGAAACAGTGATACATACAAATTTATCTGGTATTAAAAGTTCAAATGGTGATTTATGTTGTAGAAATCGAGCAAATACACAAGTAATTTCCAGCTACAATTTGCTTAATTTTTCTCACCACTCTTCTTCCTGTTTATATCTACCAAAACTGGGGGAACTTGAATCAACAATGACATGAAGCTGAGTGACTCATCATTTCAGCAGAACTGGACTTACCTCTGTCTGGTGCTGGTGCTCTGGTTTTCTCCGCCATGTAGCAGCTTGTTCTTCTCCATGTTGTCTATGGCCAGTTTACAAGCCAGGTTAGCTTTCCTCCATGCTGTCTGGTTACTGGAATCCAAAGGAAAAATAATCTGCTCTGGTTTCTGGTTGGTTTTTCTTCATCTCATGTGGGTTGTTTTGTGTGCAGGTACTACTTCAATTTATCTGCCTCTCAAAGCATTTAATCATGATGTGGCTGTACTGCACATTTTCTCTTTTAGGACTCATGGTTTATTATGTTAATCCATTTTTCCACCTTTTTAGACCTCTGAAGGTGTCAAATGTAAGACCTGCCACAGAACAGGAGCTAATGAGTGAACTACAGTATGTGCAGTTTTTGGTTTTACTGACAGCAGCTATGAGATACATTAGCATCATAACCAATATATAACCCGCTGAAACTTTACAAGAGCAAAAACAAAGCTTCACTCAAAGAAACGTATTACCTACTCAGGTCACAAACTGTTCTGACTTCATAGGGGTCAAGGGTCATCACCAAGAATGGAAATTATTTCCAAAAGAATCAAATTTTTCTTAAAAGGCACAATGTTTATAATATTGATACCAAACCCCTACGACCTCTTGACCCGCTTCAAGAGACTGAGAAACAGTCTAACCTGATGCAACATGTAGAGAGAGGTTACAGCTAAACAAAGAGCTCATTTAATATGCTGACTGAGAGCGAGACACACCAGTCAGTCCACTTCACTTCAACATTGGAATGATCCCTGGAATTTAAGGACATGTCATCACACCTCTGCATTTGCCTCCACTGGTTCTCTGCCTCTGCCTGGATGGCCTGTCTGTCCGTCTCTCTGTCCTGCTCTCTGGCCACCTGCTCCAGATCCTGACGACCACACACCACATCAAATAAAAACGTTCAGATTTTAATTAAGGAAATCAGTCAGATGCAGTACAGTGTGTGTGTGTTTCTGAGACTTACCTGTATTCTGAGTCTGAGCTTGGTCAACTTTTCTTTGACCTGAGAATTGAGCTCGACGAGCGCCGACTGAGGTCCAGGGCAATCCCTGATGTCCTGTAGGTAACACACACACACACACACACACACACACAACCAAGTGCTGCATATTAGAAATTATGAGGTCGATCAATAATTGTACTGTAAAGAGTCAAAATCAACGTAAACAGTTGGGGTAGTGCAGTTTGATAACTTCAGCTGAACGGTGTCTGTGGCGTGTTCAGGTGAAAGTTTAGCGGTCACACCTGTAACTCACGCAAAACCGTCAGCATTACTGAAGGCCTTAAAGTTAAACAATGGTTTTATCATCACAATAATGAAAATACAATTTGGACATTTTAACTATCACCGAGCTAAATAACGTTAAACATTAGCTTCGCGTTTGTGTAACTTTCAGACCTATTGTGAGATTCACGGACATTGATCCAGACACTGACACCGCCGTGAGCAAAAAAAAAATAATTAAATAAATAAAAACGTTTTCGGCTCTTACCTGAATAAGAGCCTTAATTTCCAGGTCATATTTTATAATTTCTTGCCCACATATTCGAACGTTAACGTCCACAGTAAACGCCATATTGGTTTTGTACGGCAACAAAGTTGTGTTGGTTCCTTACAATGCAAACCACGTGACCAGGTGACGTTAACATTAACACCTGATTAGTCTTGTTACACATGAGGAGCCTGTCACTGTTTACTTTTATTTTCCTCTGCTGATATCTTTAGTGATGAGTGTTTGAACGTCATTCTTTTATTATCAATGTTTAAACATGGCGGATGGGTTTTATTTTCACTTCTAAATAAGTCTGCATCTAATAATCATGTTGAGAAAATAATCTCATCACAAGTTCCATTTAGAAGCTTTTCTGGAGCTTTCGATCGTATCATACAGTCTCATTCGTCATGGAGCATTTGAAAGCTCTTTGTCCATGCTGGCACAAGGTGAAGAAATAACTTAGGACAGGTGACACATCTGACCCAGCTTTCAGTACAAGCTTTTGATCCTTTGACAGTTTGAAGTCTTTTTAACTGGCACAGCAGAACCAGCTCCAGTCCTTTGACATCTGGATACATGATTAAGTTAAAGCTGTAGAAACCTGCAGTCTCTGTCTCTTATCTACCTGTTTACACTCTTCAGGTATCATGAATGGATGAAGTGTCCTGAGCTGCAGCATCCGACTGCCTCAGAGCCACTGACCCTGGAACAGGAGTACAACATGCAGGAGAGCTGGAGGGAAGATGATGACAATAAGACTTCTTCTGCAGTAAATGTACACACAGAACATGCTGTTATTCATCCTCTAAAGCAGTTGTTATAAGTCTGAAGGCTTGCCAGACTTAGCCTTTAGCCTTAGATTTTTTTCATGTGAATAACCGGACACTTTTATTTCTCTGAAAACTACCTAAATAAAACAGATTGAAAAATATCTTTGGTTGAATCGATCATACAGCAGTGGGTGACACTTCGCCATATGGACTGCAGGCACCGAGATTCAAACCTTCAACCTTCCAGTTAGGAGACAACTGCTCTACCCACTGTACCCCCATAACTGGTAATCACTGGATATGATATGAAAATAAAACATCATTCTTTCTGAGGTCATGCACTAGTAAGATCATTCAACTTTTACTTAAAGAAAAGCTGTTTAATTTGACTTTTTTATTCTTTGCCAGAGTGCACATTCATCGTCTTGGATAAACAGCAATAGGCAGATCCCAGTATAGAAGAGGAGCAGTGCACAGTGGGAGATGTCAACATGTTCCTGGCCGACCCAACAGACCTCTCCTCGGCTGAGCTGGAGATCATGATAGCAGGTGATGCCCAGTGTGCTTATCTTAAAGTGATTCCAAATCAAAGGCTGAGCAAATATCTACAGTCAGTTGTACATCTCAGTCATTTCCTGTGTATATCTCTTTATATCTGGACACTATACAGTGTTCACCTTGTTTTCTAGAGCCCAGTTACAGAGGTAAGGGCATTGGGAAGGTGGTGACACACGTGATGATGCACTACAGTGAGCATCTGATCCGGGGGTGTACCCTGCCTTCACCCGGCAATCGGGTGAAGGCAGGGTACGCCCCGGACAGGTCGCCAATCCAAGTTAGGAGACAACTGCTCTACCCACTGTACCCCCATAACTGGTAATCACTGGATATGATATGAAAATAAAACATCATTCTTTCTGAGGTCATGCACTAGTAAGATCATTCAACTTTTACTTAAAGAAAAGCTGTTTAATTTGACTTTTTTATTCTTTGCCAGAGTGCACATTCATCGTCTTGGATAAACAGCAATAGGCAGATCCCAGTATAGAAGAGGAGCAGTGCACAGTGGGAGATGTCAACATGTTCCTGGCCGACCCAACAGACCTCTCCTCGGCTGAGCTGGAGATCATGATAGCAGGTGATGCCCAGTGTGCTTATCTTAAAGTGATTCCAAATCAAAGGCTGAGCAAATATCTACAGTCAGTTGTACATCTCAGTCATTTCCTGTGTATATCTCTTTATATCTGGACACTATACAGTGTTCACCTTGTTTTCTAGAGCCCAGTTACAGAGGTAAGGGCATTGGGAAGGTGGTGACACACGTGATGATGCACTACAGTGAGCATCTGATCCCGGGGTGTACCCTGCCTTCACCCGGCAATCGGGTGAAGGCAGGGTACACCCCGGACAGGTCGCCAATCCATCGCAGAACCTGAAACATGTCTTGTAACATTTCTTTTTCCTGTTCCTTCTCCTCAGCACACAGTAATGATACCCTTTAGTGGTGGTACACAGCATTACACCAATCTTAGTCTTAGTCATGATCTTCAATCTCAGGCTTTCCTAGACTGTCGGAAAATCAGCAGCAGTTTCTTCCATTACAACATCCAAAAGCAGCACAGACCTCTGGTGTTTTCAACCCTGTGAAGATGACCAATAACAGAAACCAGTAAAAGTTCTAAATGTGTGTCTATCCAGTAGCTGGAAAGCTAGGTGGTTAACACCATTGGGTGACGCAGGTTGGGGTTCAGTTCCCTGTCAAAGCATGATAGATTGATTTGTGAGTGTGATTTAGATCCTTGTGCAATCTTATTAACCAATACCAGAAGCCAGTAAAAGTTCCAAATATGTTCCTGTACACCAGCTAGATAGCTCGGTGGTTAACACCACTGACTGTGGTACAGCAGGTCTGGGTTTTAATAATGAGCCTCTCTATGGATTTTAGTCAGAAATGTTACACGCTGTATTTGATCCTTCATCAACTCAACTAATGTGCATGTTACACTGCTTACATAAACTGTTTTCATTTGCTCCGAGGATCATGGTCTAGTAATGTAAAATCTTTAGTACTGAATGCGACACAGTCTCTATTTGCAACATATTTCACAATGTTCTGAACAATTTACTCACTATCTGAATTGTTGTCTGGAGGTTTGTAGTGTGAGCCCACACTGGGCCACGTGTCTGATTTCGGAAGATGATGTACTCAGGTCTTCAGGTGAACTGTATTCAAATACATTGTTCAATGTTTAATATATAACAAAAATGTTGAAATACATTGTTTTACAGTTAAACTTGCCTTTCATGAAACAACAGTGGGGGAATGAACTAATAAATGTTCTGTATATCATCTATGCAAAGTATGGTTAGTCCTGTTGTGCATATTGCCAAAATACAAGTGAACATGAGTAATAAAGTACTACCAAGTACTAGTACTGTCTCAATATAATTCTACTTTGAACAAAATGATACAGGAATATTTTAGCAGCTCTGTGGGTTTTGCTTATACCCCAAAATTTTATATGAAGCCAACAATGGATGAGAAAGCCAGTAATGGTAAGTAAAAGCTCTCCCCTGGCAAAATGGAGGCCTAAAAGACAAAGTGATCAGCTGGAAGCCAAGCAATAAAGTTTGCTGTGAAGGCTGCTGAGCTTTTACCCAGCAAGCTGCTTAACACTCTGTCTCCTAAATAATGTATAATAATGATATTCTTTTGAGATGTAATTAAATGAATATCTTGTTAAAAAGAGAAAATTATTTTATTTTAACATAGCTTCCCCATACCCAAAATAGGCTATTGATTTGTAGAAAAAAAAGTTTTAAACTTGTATAACTATAACATCAGAATCAGCTTTATTGGCCAGGTGTAGAATTTGACTGTGGTACAGTGGCTCTCAGTGTGTATGTACAATGTTCTTCCCAAGTAGAGAAGTAAACAAGATAAGAATGAGAAAACAAAAAGAAATATGTATATATGCACATGCTTTAGATGCAGTTTTTCAAATAGATATATACAGAAAAGTCCAGTATATTTACAAGGTACTGCACTGAGGGTTGTCGTTGTGTTATACAGTCATGGGTTAAGTGTTCACCAGTGCGATGGCCCGGGGGAAGAAACTCTTAATGTTATATTATAATTGCTAATACATATCACAACACAGGCATGCTGATCATTTCCAACTACATAAATATTTAAGAAAATAAGAGATAAAAACTGAATATATGAAATGAGAAACAAAACATGCAAAATAAGTTTAAGAATAAAGTCACTAAGGAAAATACATACCTTAAAAAATATATCTTAATAAATAAAAAACATAAGAAAAGGGCTATTCATTTAACCCCAGAGATTTCCTCCAGTGAATTTCTGCAATGTTTTCAAAGCCAGCTGCTTTTTATTGGGGCCCTCAGGTGTCGCTGCATTAAAAACAGACTATTGTGTTGTGGCGTGACCTCGGAAGACACCATCATAATCTCCAGTAGTGTGTACAATACATAATCCTCCCTTATATGTATGGTATTATTTTATTAAAGTGAATGCAGATGTTAAAGCTGGTCATGAGTGTGTTCTTTGCCCCTTTATATTATGAAAATGAAATCAAATCATTTGTACAAATCAGTTGAGGTACTTGACTTCCATAATATGAAATCCATGGACACACAAGTCAGGATGGGGTGCTAATGGTTTTATTATTTTGATATTAAAATCAATAAACATAATCAGACTATTGTGGTTATAAGCAGAGCTGCGGTACCAACTCCTGGCTGATACAACAGAGGAAGATTGATAAAAAATAAAAATAAAAACAAAATGAAAGAGGCACAATAACACAGCAGAGATTCAGGGCAGGTGTCTGCAGGATGTCGAGCAGCCAGAGACAAAAACTGTCAGAACCTCTGAAACAGAATGAGTCGTTACAGTACAAACCAGTTTAGATTTCCATGCCTGTGCATAAAGCCCCCCCATCCTGCCTCCGAGAAAAAAAAAAAAAATACAATGTAAAACACAAAGAAAAAGTTAGTTAAAACAAAAGTATAAACCCAGCACAACATTTATTACACAACATAAATATAAATGCCAAGATATTGTAATCGAACAGCCATATATATATGAACTACAAATATAGACGTCATTGCTAAAGAGAGGATCAAGTTAGTGTCAGCAGGATACACTTTCTGCAGGTTTTGCTTCTTTATGAAATTATAATCACCAGAAGGTCTATTATAGAGCACTTAGCAATGAAGTACAGCCTTCCTACTGAGACTGGGGAGAGGAACACACACAGGACTAGCTACAGAAAGATCCCATGCTGTTGATCTAGTCAAATAAATTACCATACAAGACCAGAAGCATCATAACAATGGCATGTAGCTGTGGAGCTCAGGATGACCGATACCTCACACATCCTCTACATGTTTGGACTTGTATGGATTTCCTATAAAATCTTCTCACTGTCTGTCGTTATTATCAAAAGTGAAAAAACGAGAGAAGAAATAGAACAGATGCTTTAGGATAAACATTTTCTTATTGATAAATGTCTCTCGCTCCATGCGTTTTGGCAAGTCTGGAAGGAGATGTAAATCACTGCAGTGTCCGATGATGAGTTGGATGTGTGTAAATATAGAAAGAGGGGTTTTGTTTTTATTATTGAGGGTGGATTGTTGTCATTTGCTTTAATAACATCAGTCTGCAGGAGAGGAAATGAAAGCCCTCCCCTTAGTTTTTAGCAGGGGAGGGCGAGGAGTCTCTGCCCACCAGCCTTTAGTGACTCCTGGCTAATCTCAGGAGCTCCCTGACAAGACAACTGCAAACCAAAGCCCTTCTGAAAACAAAACAAAAGAACAAAGCACCCAGAAGGGGCAAAACATCTCTGGCGCAGTGGCGAAGTTTTCCCAGAAAACTGATCAAATGTTCACATTTCCCCACCAAAGTTAGAGAGCAGGCGAGCCGACTCCTAACCTTGAGCCTGAACCTCAGCCCAGAGTCGTGACAAACGAAGAGTTGTGTCAAGGTGAGGTTCTGTTTGCCGATTTGATGAGCCCGGCTTAGGGATCTACTGCCCCTTCTGGCTGCGTCAAACCTCCAATGACAAAACACTTCATGTGCTTCACGGACACAATGACACAAAGTCACAATGAAACTGTTGTTCTGTGAGGATCTGGTTTCCTTTAACTGCCTTTAGGGCAGAACATAATACAGAGAAAGTAACAGGATACTGACTGACAGGATGGCCAGAACGTAACACTGAAGCCAGAGTGCGGCTCCTTTTTATGTGCACAAAAATTGCACAACATCTCTGTAAACTAAAACAGTTTTAATCACTGATTAATCTGATATTTTCTGAATTCATCCATTTTTAGTTTAGCTATAAAATGTCCCAAAATAATGAAAAATGCCAGTTGTAGTTTCCCAGAGTCCAAGTTTTGAGTCCAAAGATGTTCATTTTACTGCCATGTCTGACCGTAGACTGTGACAAAGAATAGCATCTAATCCTTACATTTGAGAAGCTGTAAACAGCAAAAGTTTGGCACTCTTGCCTAACTGGTGCAGCTCTAAACCAATTTACTGGATTAATTTCTAATATCTCCTAATAATCTTTTTATTGCCATAGTGTGAATTCATTGTTTTTCAGTCTGATCATTTATTGACTGATTCTTTACTGTTTAATTAAACTTGAATTAATGATTGTCTTTAAAACTATTAGATCACAGAGGCAGGACTGTACAGTCATCCTATTAATAATAGGATAATATTACAGATATACTGGGTAAATCTAATAGCATTTTATGTTTCACTGTGACTTTGATTCATGTCTGTGAATCTGAAGCAAAGTCTTACTCGTGGCAAAGCCCGCTTCGATGGAGAAGCCATAAACAAATTGTCTCTGTACATGTTCATTTACAGGAATAAAACAAATAAATATCAAGAAATGGCATCAACACTGGGATGGAGGAAAAGGCAATAAAAGATAATTTAGGGGAAAAATTCAAAGGTGCAACCTTTTACAAAGTCAGAGCATAAATATCAAATTATATTAACTTAAAAAAAAGGTTTAGACATACAAGCAGGACAGTGGCCAAAGAAAGATACAACATTCATCATCTTTCTGGATCCTGACGACAAGTCTCACTCTGTGAGCTTCAAAACCAAAGTCTAACAGGAAGTGGAACAGGAGAAGCGCCAGCAGACGCACACATCTGTCTGTATGATCCTGCTGAGGAAGACTAGTCTACATTCATCAGCAAAGCAGCAGCAGCAGAGTTATACCTCGCTATGTCAGCATACAGCAGTGCAGCAGTCAGAAACACAAGACTGACCAGAGTCATCAACAGAAGAAATAATATGGCTAATACAGCTGTTTCACTCAGCCATGTTAGCCCCCAGCCACTGACAGAATAGCACCACAGTTTGCCTCCATGCTCAGTTTGTCGCTTCATTCGCAGCCTGCGACTCAGTGCCAACACTGACTTCAAGGAGGGTCTGGCACTTCATTATAGCAAAGTTAAGAAATGGAAAGTTCTGTCGTATATATATATATTTTTTTGTTTGTTTATTTGTTTGTCTTTCTCGAAAATGTCTCAACACAGTGCTCCACGTCAAAACCGCAGAAGAAGAAAGCATTGTAAATTGACTAGGTAAAAAGCAGGGCCGAGTCTCCCTCTGCCTCAGACACAGTGGAAGTTTGCTGTTCTCTACACGGACACGCCGGCGGTGATAGCAGCAGCAGCCAATACAGAAAACACAATAATGTGGCGTAGTGGGCAGAGAAAGATTTCAAAATAAAACCAGGTTTCCCAAAACAACATCAATTTCATTTAAAGTTGCCGTTTATGTTCTTCTTCAATAACACTATGCAAAGTTGATTCTTCTACCTAGACATGACAAACGGTGTTAAAGGCTGATTTACAAAATGTATTGATTTGGGATTAAAATGAGGTTTTCATCTCATTATTCAAG